GCCTTAGGTTGCCTACCCCTGGGATAGAGCAATGGAAGTTAAAGCAGTGTCAAACTGCATTAATCCTGTAGTGTAGATGCAACCAATAGCTCCTAGTTTCCTTGTTTGCACCGAGATGGACGTATTTGCATCTCTGGCACCCTCTGTGGGTGGCGTCAGGAACGATGTCACAGGGTTGTGCAACGCAGTGCAAAACTGTCTTTCAGAAGGAACTTGAAAAACAAGCCGCTATGCAGCAAGACTCTCTTCTGCAAGAGGGCTGCCCTTCCCTGGCCCATCCAGAGGGAAAAACCTGTTGCTCTTTGCAGGAGCCCCACGCCCAATTCCAAAGAGCCAGGTAAGGGAGCATTTAGGTCTGCGTCACCAATGCCAGACTGCTTTGCCAGGAGACACAGCCTCGGTCACAACCATCACCATCAGAGGACTGGTGCTGTTGTTATTCTCCGCCAACCAACAAGATGGCTTCGACTTTTGATGACCCTACGAATGAGAAACCTTGTTCTTCACAGCCCTGCTCAGGTCTTGCAAACTCAGGGCAGTTGTGACCAGGATGCAGTTTGGGATGCATTGCCAAACAAAAATCACACTTTGTCCTGCATAGCCCAAGATGCATTTTTGATGGTTGCTGTAGTTAAGTCAGTCCTGACTATGCATGAGAGGCTTCCCAGACATTTCTGTTACCAACAGCTCTGCTCAGGCCTTGCAGACTAAGGGCAGCCATGGCTTCCTTGACTGACTCTCTCCATCAGGAATGCAGGCTTCCTCTTTTCCTGCTGCCTTCTACCTAGACTTGCAAAACTACAAATCCCAGGACTCCATAGTATGGAGCTACAGCACTTAAAGTGGTGTTGAGCTGCATTATTTCTACAATGTAGATTCACTCTCTGATTTTTAAATTAGGTACTGATAATACAATGGGCTCTTGGGATCTTCTGGGGTTTGGCTCCAGGACCCTCCATGGGTAGCAAAACCCATGCTCCCATTATATGCAATGGGCTAGTAAAATAGTGTCCCTTATATAAAATGGCAAAAATAAAGTTTCCTTTGTGTATTTTCTTAATATTTTCAAGCCATGGATGCTTGAATCCACTGATGAAGAATCTGCAGATACAGAGGGCCAACAATACATAAGAGGTGATATGGCAGACGTGTTTAAATATTTGAAGAGATGTCCTATTGAAAATGGTGCAAGCTTGTTTTCTGCTGCTCCAGAGAC